AACGTTGGTCTACTTGTTTCTTTCAGCTGCATGCATTTATGAAACAATAATACGGCTTTGTCAAGCTGTCAGAGTTAAATAGCTGAAAATGCATTCAGGGAGGTAACACAATACAGCTATTATAAGGCATGACCTTTTTGAGAGTAATTCCACCATTTACAGATCACAAAAAACAGACATTTTCATAAACCATACAGAAGAAAAGCACTGTGGCTTGTTTGATACGTGGCCTCTACAGGAATGTGGCACAACGAAGGCTGAGGGTTTTTTTGGGTTTTTTAGTTTACTTTGAAGAAATCTTCCATCTCTAAAGTGTCCTCTAAGCCTTACAGTAGATAGAGGAAAGAGGCTGAGGGCTCCACAGGGGCACAGGCACAAGAATTCCCTCATTTCCTGCCCCACAGATCTCTTCAGGTGACAAAAATCGAGGTGCCACCCCAAAATACACAGCTGGGACCAGACCTTGGAAATAACACAACYCACCTAAGGCCAGGGGTGAGGGGGATGAAACTCCTCCATCAGTCCAGTGCTCAGCTCTCCCAACATTTCTGTGCTCTGGTTTTAACTGAACAAACAGCTTTTACACTTATTTAAAATCATTGCATAAGAAAACAGAGCAGAGAATACCAGAACAGTGATGAAATCTGAGACCTGGGAAGGACAGGTCCAGGATCCCGCTGTGTTTGAGAGACTCTGAACAAACACATGGAATACAAGCCAGAATAAAAAACACCCCTCCCTAGCCAAGGTGAGCAATCAGCATCTGTTTTCACAACATTTTCAGATATACAGTGGAATTTGAACCAGGTGAGTACCTCCTAACTACACGCTAAGCAACAAGGAGTGCCCTCCACGTTAAAAAYACATTTAAGTCATCTGYTACAAGGAGGAAACGCAGAAAAAAWWTCTTTACATCTAAAAACAGAYCATGTGATGTGCAGGGACTATACAAGACAGTTTYTCCAAGTGCAGGTGGCTGCAGTGGAAATCCAGCCCTAACACACCCTGCAGACAATTCCAGCTGTACTTGACACCATGAGGATTAAACTCRTGCTGAGAGGCTGCAAACAGCAAGACAACTCTTTCAAGAGAGACTAAGTGCATGGGAGGATAATCTACAGCATCTCAGTGGTGCCTCTATTTATTCCTTTTAACCTCTGAGGGAGATCACCTGTGAGAGGCAGTTTTTCAAGAACAGGGCACTCTGTTAGCTCAGGGAACTGAAAATGAATCTTTGACAGAATTCCCAGCTTGGCTGATGGGACAGAACCTCACTGGAAGGGTGGGTCACTGCAGTGACTGTGCTTGCTCCCTGAAATTAGTCAAAAAAGCTTTAATTTCAACACAGGAACAGAAACCCAGCCAGGTAAGTGCTCCAGGAAGGAAATTACTTTTTGTCCCTGTACCATCACCTGGCGCTGGCAGGGGTTGTTCTCTTTCACAGGATTCTTTCTGATGGCAGCTTGTGATGTCCAAAAATTTACTCTGAGTCTTGAAATCACTTGGTGACTTGAACTATTAATTATCCTGTTTATTTGCCCATGCATTGCCTTCAAAGTGCTGCAGCATCCTCCCTCTGCCCCTCAGTTTTGAACACAGAGCTGCTGCTGGCCCACAGGATGCAGGATAAAACCTCCTGGCCACGGGAAATYCTGTCAATAATTGATTACAAGTGGGACCTCTGCAGAGGTCAGCTTTCTTCAGCAGCTAAACATCACCCTCCTGAGGGCATGATTAGGCCAGCACAATTCCTTTCATTAATTCTCCGTRCACAGATGTCCACCCTTGCTTTGTCTGCCTGCAACATCTCATTAATTTCAATGCCAGGGTGGCTATATATTAGGACTAACAAAAACTGAARGTTAATTTAAAGTAGAAAACGAGCCCATTTACTGCAAGGAGAAATCGGATGGGAATTTTCAAATATCAGAGAATTAAATACCCAAATCCCATTAAAAGTCAGTACAGACAGGGTGCCAACCTTTCCAAAACCCTTCTAAATTTTTTTATGCTAAAATTCTTTAAGAAAATATTGCAAGAAAACATTATCCCTTACTGGWGAARGGGRAAAAAAAAMCCYAAGAAAATATTAASCAGCAAACATCCTCCAAATCCTGTGTAGTCCCTGGCCTAGGCTCAGCCCTGTCCTGTGTCTACCTACCCAGTAATGAAGAAATTTTCACTCTACCYATCAGCAATTCCTCCTGCATCTTTAACAACATTTAAAACCCAGCATTTAAAGTYGATTTAGAGATGCTATCATACATAAGCACGATATATCACAAGGAATAACCATAGTAGCAACCCTGCAATTACCATGGAAACCCTACTTGGAAAACAAGACACAAATCCTGGAGATACAAATCCCTTAAACCTATATAAACTCACACTTCGAC